TCAATCTTTGTCAACATGCGATATTTAATGACAAATCGTTGTTGAATTTTTATGATTCTGTTGATTAATACCTTACGTTATGGTCTCATCTAAAAATGCCCTCAATTTGCTGACCCATCCTTTCTTATGATCAACTCATTTCGTTCTGTTAATTCATACAATTTTACGGCTGTTTTCACGTAACTGAGGTCATCAAGATTCGTTTTTGTAGAAACTTGTCGCCATGTCTTTTAGTTACTTTTTCACTAAACATTTTCATAGCAATCAAAAAATAACTATTCAACCTTGGAAGAGATTTTATTGAACCCCGGTTTCCAAACACGTGGGTAGCTAGATGGATAAACAGGTCCAAATTGAGTAACTCTCATTGCTAACACAGTCTTACTGTTGTATAGATTCTGTCTGTAAGATTAATTCTCATCCCTTTCTGTTGCTCCATTAGTAAATCTAAAGCTCCAGTAAATTAATGTTCAGATAGCTTATTTTTTATAAAGTTGATGTCTGACTTAGCCAATTAGATACCATTTGAAAACTTGAATTGTCGATTCAAACTCTTCACTGAATTAAAACCACACTCAATCTTTGTCAACATGCGATATTTAATGACAAATCGTTGTTGAATTTTTATGATTCTGTTGATTAATACCTTACGTTATGGTCTCATCTAAAAATGCCCTCAATTTGCTGACCCATCCTTTCTTATGATCAACTCATTTCGTTCTGTTAATTCATACAATTTTACGGCTGTTTTCACGTAACTGAGGTCATCAAGATTCGTTTTTGTAGAAACTTGTCTCCCTGTCTTTTAGTTACTTTTTCACTAAACATTTTCATAGCAATCAAAAAATAACTATTCAACCTTGGACGAGTTTTTATTGATCCCCGGTTTCTAACCTTCACTTGTGTAAAATATAGAATGTTGATCTTTCGTGGATAATCAATAACACTTCAAAGCTGTTTGAAGCTGAAAATGAAAACAACGACATAAATGACTTCATGTTTTTCTGGAATGACTTTTATTCTTGTTGACAGTTTGTTGTTTATAAAATTGATGACTGTCTTAGCCGATTAGATAACATTTGAATCAAAACCACACTCAATCTTTGTCAACATGTGATATTCACTAACAAATTGTTGTTGACTACTTGTTGTTGTTGCTGTTGTTTGAATTGCTTCTCATGAATTTCTCTACAAAGAAAACAATTAGATATTGTTTTCTTCGATTGCCAATTTGTTTTTCTTTCGTTTGTTATTGTGAACTGTCGATTATTGTGAGCACCAAATACAACATAGGATTTCCTAAACATGTGAGCGAATGTGATTCACAACTTGCTAAACAGGTTCCATGTAAACAGTTGACAGTCTAAGTCTTGTGAAATTTCAAACGTTTCATTGTGATGTCTAACTTCTTCTTGTGACAATACTCTGTGTACACTTTCATTCATCATTCAACGAAGCATGGCATGAGATCAAGTAACCACGAATCTAGTTTAACTGTGAAATAATTTAGTTGATGTTTTCTGATGTCTTTTAGTTACCTTTGAGTGTGGTTTTGATTCAAATGTTATCTAATCGGCTAAGACAGTCATCAATTTTATAAACAACAAACTGTCAACAAGAATAAAAGTCATTCCAGAAAAACATGAAGTCATTTATGTCGTTGTTTTCATTTTCAGCTTCAAACAGCTTTGAAGTGTTATTGATTATCCACGAAAGATCAACATTCTATATTTTAAACAAGTGAAGGTTAGAAACCGGGGATCAATAAAAACTCGTCCAAGGTTGAATAGTTATTTTTTGATTGCTATGAAAATGTTTAGTGAAAAAGTAACTAAAAGACATGGCGACAAGTTTCTACAAAAACGAATCTTGATGACCTCAGTTACGTGAAAACAGCCGTAAAATTGTATGAATTAACAGAACGAAATGAGTTGATCATAAGAAAGGATGGGTCAGCAAATTGAGGGCATTTTTAGATGAGACCATAACGTAAGGTATTAATCAACAGAATCATAAAAATTCAACAACGATTTGTCATTAAATATCGCATGTTGACAAAGATTGAGTATGGTTTTAATTCAGTGAAGAGTTTGAATCGACAATTCAAGTTTTCAAATGGTATCTAATTGGCTAAGTCAGACATCAACTTTATAAAAAATAAGCTATCTGAACATTAATTTACTGGAGCTTTAGATTTACTAATGGAGCAACAGAAAGGGATGAGAATTAATCTTACAGACAGAATCTATACAACAGTAAGACTATGTTAGCAACGAAATTTACTCAATTTGGACCTGTTTATCCATCTAGCTACCCATGTGATTGGATCTTCAACTCACCTGATATCTCAGTGACTCACTGAAGTTCACGTTGCAATTCACTCACACTATGACAATGGACATGAATATACTTAGAAAATTTATGAGATCATTTGAATTTCAACAACATGCTGATGACATATGGGAACTCCTGACATAGGACACATTCCGTAAAATGCAACATGTAGTCACCTTATGAGAGAATAGCCTGTAGTATCGGTTGTTATGCTAAGCCCATATGCCTTATTCTAACTTCTGGACAAGTCAATTCACCTGTTCATCATGAGTCATGTTCTCACCTTGTTAATTATTCACTTATTAACCCTGACCATTTTTATGTGAGCGTAGGTGTGTGTACACTTCATATCCTATTTATCACATGTTGTCATTTATTCTTGTTTGATTATAAATATTGATTAATGCTTGATTAAAGTGAGTTGGCTTAGCCGCCATCTCCAAAGCATGTCATTTTTGTTTTGCTCGCTGATGTTTACTCATGTGCTTATAATTTTCTGGCCTGCGTCATTAGTTAATAAAACTGTAGCTGTCGCTTCTCTTTGCCATCTGGTTTTTATGCACCGTTAAGATTTGTATTATAACGATTATCGAGGTGAATGATTAACGAAGCACGGCACTACAAGCCCAACGCCTATCGGTTGTTAAGCTTTCCCAATATGTTTAAAAATTCCTATTTTATTGGAAACAAAAGTAATCAAAGAGTATTCTAAGACAAGAAACATTTGAGCAAATAATTGTTTCTAATAACTTCATAATCAGACTTTACAGCTATAAATCAATAACTGTTGTATTACAATTGATAAAATCAGTAGTATATAAATAAATGAATTAAAGAATGTTACAGGTTAAAGTGGGGCCTTGGTTCTATTGCAGTTTAAAGTGTATGAATAATGAATTTGAAAGATTATTTAAGGGCTAGGAAAATTCATCCTAAGGTGTCAAGTTGTTGAACTTGTTTTAAAAATGTGAATATTCTTTCCGATTATTTTTCATGTAGTTCCAAATTAATAATCCAACTGTTTAGATCACTGAAAAAATGTAATCTTAGCACTTGAGTGTATCAATGTTAAGACGGCCAACATGTTGTGTCTATCTGGTGCCAGTTTTAGGTCAAATGAAATTATGAGGATAATGGTTGGAAAACATGCAGATAAGGTATTGTAAGAGAAATAATCATAGAATTAATGATCAAATTAAATGTCCAATCAGAAATCACGTAATACATAAAATAATAAGAATTTAGCATGAAATAATAAGTGCGGAGAGAGTGCTAAGTCAATCGTTCAAATGTGTAAGGGGAACATAAATCAATCAATCAATTATAAGCTAAGAAAATGTTTAGTGAAAAAGTAACTAAAAGACATGGCGACAAGTTTCTACAAAGACAAATCTTGATGTCCTAAGTTACGTGAAAACAGCCGTTTATAGACTATTAATGAAAATACCTAAAAGAAGTTATTCATATAAATAATCATCAATGATAGCAATGGTTAATCAAATGTAGCAATAAAACTAAATTAATATACTAAAGTTGTTTCATGAATTTTGAGGCTGACTTAAAATGAAGGAGAACATCATATATATTAGATGAAGAAGGATAATTTTGAAACTGGGTTCAGTAATATGTTAACGTAAAGTTTTACAATGAAATGTATTAAAGTGTTATATCCCGTGGAGATTTATGAATGGTAACCTTTAGAACTATTAATGGACCAATATGGTATGTATATTTCCTGTTGTATAATTGTTAAGTAACTAAACTATTCATATTTGTGTCTCTCTTATTATAAGCTTTATTTTGACCTATAGACTTATATTATAGGATTTACCATTTTTGAGTTATCCCTAGTCCATTAACTACTGTTCCCCTAATCACAGCTACATTTGTCCGAGTCTTGTACAAATGTTGTTTCTTATTTTATGGTACGATATGGTCTGTCTGGTTGGTATATAAGCCCAGTATGTTTGAGAATAATGATTCATATTGCAGAGGCTGTTATTAGTATTCTGGACTTAACTGTCTGGGCTAGACAGAAGGCAGGACTGATAAGTACTCAAGACTGCTCATTCGGCTTTTGTGTATCATAGCTCTGATCGATAATTCGCTCCTCTCTGATTGGAGGGGATCAGCATGTTCATATATATCAACTGAGCAAGAACGCACGCAATCGTTATAACAGTAAGACATATTGCATTGTCATTATATAGTCTAGGAAATGAAAAAAATCGAAGCGATTTATACTATCAACCACATACTTAATTCAATTAATCTTTGGATGTTAACCATCCCACTTAAAAATTGTGGTTTAACAATCAGTTTAGCACATAGTTTTATTGACATTGTAGTTATTATAAGTACAAAGTTCTCAAATTTCATATTTATTAATTGTTCAGAACTAATGTATTGTTCAAACAGTCCTTCTCTGAAGTATACTAATGTAACTATTTACTCAAATTACTTATAAAAGCATTAACTAATAAACGTCAAATTGAAAATCATAACTTGATCCATAAATTTATCTATTTATTTATTTTATTTACAAACTATGATGTAAAATCCATATTTAAATGTTGAAGAGTTGTAATATATAATAAATGTGTTTCTGATCGTTTGGTATAATGGAAAGTAACATAAAGATTTTGTTGACAATATTGGTGTTTGTGATGAATACAGATTATAGTGAGTTTAAAACAATGTTGATAAGTGATTATTTCATCCACTAACGTTTTTATTGTTATTTGTATTATATATATTGCTAAGAGTAATGTGTGAATAGAAATATTCAATATGTACAGGAATTGTAAATGAATCGCGTTTTTTAGAAAACAAAGTGAAGCACACATATAAATGACAGTGATAAAAAGAGCACGGTTATTATTGAAAAAAGAATTACAAAGCTCATCGATTGATAGTCAGCTACAAGCAAAACATATCAAGGTTAGATTGAGTCTAAGTATTGAGTGCTCTAAATGCAACTTGCTTAAATAATGTAAGAAAAGATGGATAGTGACTAGCAGTGGAATCCATGACGCGCGTTTCGTCTTATTTGGGACTCGTCAGCTGGATGTACCTGCATCGCAGAGTTGATATTCACTCTGGGACTCGAACCCATTACCGTTCGCTTCGAACGACATCGCATTATCCACTCAGCTACTGAGTCCCAGAGTTAACATCAAATCTGAGGTTAAGGTACATCCAGCTGACGAGTCCCAAACAAGACAAAATGCGCCTCCTGGATTCCCCTGCTAGCCACTATCCATCTTTGCTCACAATGCTTGTGAATTTAGGCTATATCGAGGCAATACACACAGTATGCACATATGCCAATTAGAGATTGACCAGTTGCAGTCCTAACACATCGATGAGAAGATTTAAGCAAATAATACCAAATGAAGTTTGTTCACATTGTTTTTATATTCCCCATGGCGTAGTGTAAATTTCTTTACAAATTTCAGTGAAATTAAGAATGTATGCTATGAAATTAAACAACCTTAATTATAATCGTGACAAACATTTCAGTTGACATGTTACTTTCAATAAAAAGCATATAATTTATATTATCAGAATTGGGTGTTTGTGGAGATTTAGTATTTTGATAATTGAACATCATGGATGCTGACTCAGTGGTCTATCGGTTAAGTGCTCTGTCGCTCGACTGGTAGGTCCTGGATTTGAATCTCGTGGATGCGCACTGCTGAGGGGTCCAACAATTGGACGAAACGGCCGTCCAGTGCTTCCAGGTTTTCCCTGGTTGTCTAGCTTCAATTGACTCACGCTTTTAATTATGAAAATATCATTTGTATAATATAAATCACAATATAAACGTTAGTGGATGGAATAATCACTTATCAACATTGTTTTAAACTCACTATAATCTGTATTCATCACAAACACCAATATTGTCAACAAAATCTTTATGTTACTTTCCATTATACCAAACGATCAGAAACACATTTATTATATATTACAACTCTTCAACACTTAAATATGGATTTATTAAATATGAATTTGTGGATTAAATTACAATTTGTTATTTGATGTTTATTAATTGGTTGAAAAGAAATCACTTTTATGTATCTTAGTAATCAAAGTCAACTATGTACAAACAACAAATGTTACGTACATGAGGTAAGACATGAGAACAGCAAATTTAGAAAGACAAACAATTGCCACTTCATATTAATGACTTGTTTAAAAATTATTTCCAATCTATTTCGTTCAAAACAAGACTGAACATTAAAACATGTGTAAATTGACATGCCAATTAGAGATTGACCAGTCGCAGCTCTAAAAAACAATGAGAAGATTCAAACGTGTAATACTAAGTGAATCCGCTTAAATACTGTTCCGGTCGTGAACATAAATATCTATTCCATCAAAATAAGTCAGAATGTCTTGTTTTTATTTTTCAAATAATGCATGCTAGAATGTTAAGGGCATCATGATCACTATTTATTCTGTGATTCATTCACCCAAAAATTTTATCACTTTCTAATTCCAGATGAACTAAATAAGTTTCGTTCTCAATTGTGCTATGCATATGTTCTTCGTTCAGTTTTTTAGTGCACTTATTTGGGAACTTATGAGAGTACCTATGTATCGATATGCATCTTTCAATGACGATAATTTCTTCTTCTAACCTATCCTTGGAGTAAAACATGAAATGATGGTCAGGAAGCGTTTTAACAATCCATTTTCTATAACTTATTGAAGAGAAAATATTATAGCTTAGATCAACGACACTCCACATGATTTTACGGTAGAAATATATTGGTAACTTCCCGTATAGAACCTGTTGGATTCCAAGATCTAAAAAAATTGAGTTTTTTATCACTTTTGTATTCCATAGTAAATTCAATGATATTCTGTCCATCACTGAACGTAAATAGAATGTGTCAGAATATTACAAACAATAAGTATTTCATTAGGAAATCCCTAGTAAAATATTACTTCAGTGACTGTATGCTTTAACTACATTTGTATGAGATAAAATTGGGGATAAGAAGATCACCTTAGCAACTCTACTAGTTTGTTAGCATATTTTGTTCTCGAACTAATTTTGTATACTTTCAGTAAACAATAGCAGAATCTGACCGAATTATCTTATTAGTAAAGTGACAAAGACAAGGTCCTGATGCACAGTTTCAACAGTTTATTTTGAAGTGAAAAAAAACACCAGGTGATACTACAAATTTATGGGAAATATTCTAACTTTTCCATCATGTGAATTGTAAGTTATCATTTAGTTGGTTATATGGTTATTTCTTACGGACCGGTCCTCAACATTTTGCCGAACACTGAGTTACAGAACGGTTAAGTAACTGTAGAAATATGGATTTAATCAAGAAGCGGTATACAATCCAATCACTTTAGGAATTACTTTTATCAGAAAACAGAGTTTTTGCTTTAGCAGGGGGCCTCAAGCGTATATATATATATATATATATATATATATATATATATATATAACTGTGTACAAAAATAGCTGATTATCATCATCATTATTATATTTCATAAACTACTGTTTTAGCCTTTTCAGTCAAATGTTATGCATGTAATTTGTGTCCGGTTCCAATGGATTATTCATCCCCACTAGTGAGAGTTAAAAGTTCTTGTAAGTGGTGTTCTGTAAGTACAAAGAATGTATAAAATATCATTAAAATTTTCAAAAAATTATTCTCATTTGTTACAGTTCATTTATCTCATATTTGTTAACAAAATGAGTATTAGGAAATACAAAATAGGTAATTTAGCTCCTGAAAAGAAATTTATTTTTAGTAAATTATTACTATGTGTTATATCTAGAGCCTTGATTCTTAATATGCCGCAAACTACTTGACTACTTGAACGATAGAACCCGCAACGTCGCAAAAAGAGAAAAGACACAAGTATCAGAGAATCACTTTACTACAAGGTTCCTTTATGTACAGAAAAACAGGGGTTTTATAGTAATTAAAATGACCTTGAGATTCCATAGTAGCAGTATGTTTAACAGCCAATCAGGACCTCATTATTTTAGTAGCATAGCTTCTAACTAATCGCTGATTGGTTGGGCTCTTTATGAGCCTCTCTGGAGGCTCTGATAGAGTTTATTGTAAGCCGACCTAACACTATGGTGTACAGTTGTATATCATTGTTTAGTAGTCGTTTACCTCTGACAGAACCTATCTACTATATCTGTGAATACGTCGTTCCCTACAGCATAGACGTAGGTTTAACGACTACTTTTTATCCTGAGCAATAAACTACTATAAATGAACCTTAAGTTTAATGTTCGAATATTTAGCCTGTTCATTTTACTATACATAATCTGATATGACAAAATATACACACATGTCAACTGTTTTTCTTGTTAAAAATCAATTATTTCTATTATTTTGTAAGTTTATAGAACTAACTCTTGAGATGAAGTGAAAGATCACAATAAAAAACTAGCGAGGACTTTTAGTAGTATCGTGAGCTTTTAGCTGATTCTACTAAAAGAATGTTCAGACGTAAGTTATAGCCAGAAAAGCTTGTAAACGTCTGAATGTTTTTACGATAATCTCGGACTGCAATAAGATTAATCATATTTCAGTGCTATACTGTTCTGTATGCTGAAACATTGGTAAAATTACAAATATCTCACTGACATCGTCAGTGGAATATGTACAAAAATCTCAATTAAAACTCGGTCACATTAAAAGTGGATAGTAGTGGAATCCAGGACGCGCATTTTGTCTTACTTGGGACTCGTCAACTGAATGGGCCTGCATTTCAGAGTTGATGTCCACTCTGGGACTCGAACTCAATACCATTCGCTTCAAATGCCATCGCGTTATCCACTTAGCTACTGATTCTCAACATACACATATGGAAAAGCAAGATTCTCGGTCACAACACAACATGCATCAATCGGACCACACTTGACGGAAAAGCTTTTGAGGATGTAAAAACCTTTACATATCTGGGCAGCATCGTTGATGAACGCGGTGGATTTGATGCAGATGTGAGGGCGAGGATCGGCAAAGCAAGAGAAGCTTATCTACAATTAAAAAACATCTGAAACTCAAAACACCCGACAACCAACATCGAAGTCAGAATTTTTCAATACGAATGTCAAGACAGTTCTACTACATATGGCGGAAACTTGGGGAACTACGAAAGCCATCATCCAGAAGATACAGGTGTTTAGTAACAATTGTCTGCGCAAAATACTTCGGATCCGTTGGCTAGATATTATCAGCAACAACCTAGTGTGGGAGGGAAGAAACCAGATTTCAGCGGAGGGATAAATCAGGAAGAAGCGCTGTAGGTGGATAGGTCACACATTGAGGAAAGCACCCAACTGCGCCACAAGGCATATCCTCACTTGGAATACTGAAGGGGAAAGGAGAAGAGTAAGACCAAAGAACATATTGCGCCGAAAATCGGAGACAGACATGAGAAAAATGGACAAAAATTGGATAGAACTAGAAAGGAAGTCCCAGGACAGAGTGAGTTGGAGAATGCTGGTTGTTGGCCTATGCTCCATTAGGAGTAACAGGTGTAAGTAAGTAAGTTAGTAAGTTTGTACAGTAAATGCAGGAGGAATTTTACATAACATCAGTTCATACCAAAGTTAGTTAGGTTATACGAATGAGTAACCTCGAATAATATAACTGTTCTTAGTAAATTTATATGAATACGGACATATTTTATCTCATCTCCACTATGTTTTGTGTCACTGTTTGACGCTTTAGCCGAACTTGATGGTTTAATGAACAAGTCTTTTTATTCGGTTACATGGAGTATATGCATTTAAGCTAACTAATCAAAGAGTATTAATGTCATCTGATATAATTCTACTACATCTCATTTACATATACAGAGACTATTAAGTGATAAGATTAATTTAACCAAGATAAGCACAAGCAAGTGGCTATCAGGACTCAGTGGCCGAGTGAATAACGCGATGGCGTTTGAAGCGAAGGTACTGGGTTCGAGTCCCAGAGTGAACATCAACACTGAGATGCAGGTGCATCCAGTTGAGGAATCCCAAATAGGACGAAACGCACGTCCTGGATTCCCCTGCTAGCCACTATCCGTCTCTGCTTACCATGCTTGTGAATTAAGGCTATATTGAGGCAATACGCACAGTATGCACATATGCCGATTAGAGACTGACTAGGTGCAGTCCTAACACATCGATGGGAAGATTCAAACAAACAATACTAAATGAATTTAAGATAAATGAAGTTTAGAATATTTTAAAGAAAAATTTAAAATGGTTATGTGGTTAAGAAGTACAGATAGTGCTAAATATAAAGAAAACTGGCTACGCATTCACATTATTATACCTTTCTGAATTTTACGTTTTTGAACGTAACTTTTCCACTCATTATTTTTGACACACTTTTGTTTTGCTATCTTCCCATATTACCTAATAGTCGCTTACAATTGGTAGTCCACATTTAACAATAAAAGGATGCTCAGATAGCTGTAATTCAAACAGTTCTCTAAAGGAATATGTCCGTTTCAATTTTACCTGCTGTGGTAAGAACTATTGTAATCTCAGCTCAAAAGCTCATCCGACTAATCAAATCCTATTTTTACCATTAATGATAATTTGTTTTTATCTTAATACTGAGAAATAAAACAAAACCACTTCAAAAACACCCGTTAACTTCTTGTTCAGTTTCAATTATGTTCATTTCTTTATTTTGGGGGCAATATTGATCATATTAAATAGTTGGATATTTCCTCGTTTTTTCTCTCCTTTTATTTGTGTTTGTATTTAAGTCGGTTTGACTTAAATACGTCTAATAAGACATAAAAGTCCATTTGTGAAGGTTAAATGTTACTATAAGAAGCAGTTGTTGACAGAAATCACTCACTCTACATACTAGTAACAAGACTATTTTTATTATTCCTAGATTTTTTCAAGCTTTCTTAATTGGTTCATAGCAAAACGTCAAGTTGAAAAAAAGTTACGTACATTACTAATCCTCTGTACAATGTTCATAACCTTAAAAATAAAAACAGGGTAAACATGTCCCAGTCGAAATAATTTAATATGCTGATTAAAGATACTAAGAGATGTTGATATGGTGGAGAAGATTTGTAGCTCAGGTGGGTGGTTTTGATGGAATTTTGTTCTCTGAGCTGGATGGTTTGGTCGTGGGGCTTTCATCGTTCTTCTGAAAGACATCATCAGCACAAACTTCGAGTAGAAGTGAAGTGTTTGAATTTCTCCACATGTGATTCACAGCTTGTCCTCTGCACCACGATGTTGATTGGTTCTTATAGTGTTTGTCGCAGTTGGCACAATTTATTTTGTAAATGATGTTTGGTTTGTCTTCTTTTGTCATTTCATCCTTTGGTTTGCTTAAGATTGAGTGGAGGGATTTTGTTGGTTTGTGGGAAACACCTGTGCGACAAACACTACATCGGAAAAAAGCGAACGCCCTCTTCATCTTAGCCTGCATGAACACCAATTAGCAGTCAAACGCCATGACATGTCTTCATTTATATCAATGCACGTGGATATCTGCGGACACTCATTCGACTGGAAAAATGTGCAGATTTTGGACAGAGGCAATTCCAAAAATACCAGAGAATTTTTAGAAGCTTGGCACTCAGGTCAATCAGCAATAAACAAACATATTGAAATCAATCCATTCTGTCAACCAATCAAGAAAATTATGCAGGAACATAGGAACAAAAATCAAACCAATAGGAGATACAACCAAAACAAAGAAATAAACAGTGACAGATTTAAGGTCAATAAGGACCAATCAACATTGAGGTGCAGAGGACAAGCTGTGAATCACATGTGGAGAAATTCAAACACTTCACTTCTACTCGAAGTTTGTGCTGATGATGTCGTTCAGAAGGACGATGAAAGCTCCACGACCAAACTATCCAGCTCAGAGAACAAAACTCCAACAAAAATACTAAGAGATAAAATTGTAAATCACCATGAAAGAATAAACTTTTATTCTATGTAGGAATCAGTTTAATCTCTGTAGGAGATTATTGCAGTAACTTAGTAATGACCTCTTGATCTTAAATCCTGAATTCATTTAATTGCAATTAGTATGAGAAATACAAAACCAAGGTAAGATTAAAAAAAGTTATTAGTTAAAGCTGATATCAAACTTAGATAGAACTATGAACCAGTTTCTCAGTATTTCAGATTAAAAAATATATATGACAATTCTGTATTTCGATGCGTGCCAAAATTACGAAACCCATAGACTTTCATAAACTTATTTATAATGTTTCCATGTCCAATTACAAACGTGTCATTCGTAAAGCAGGAATATAATTCTATCTGATTGGGATGTAATATGTCAGCTTGTATTCCCGGTATTTCATCCTATCATGAAAAGTATTTTTACTTCTTGATACAGTTGTTACAGTTAAAGTAATAAAAATTATTACTGTTACCTTTCACACCTCAATATTACTGAGACACAAAGATGACAGGTAAGTGATATTAAATTCTATTGGTTACGTTGTTTTGTAAAATAACATGTTCTGTAATGTTTAATTACCTTATCATCATTTCCTGAAATTATAGCTCTTTTGCAATTTCCTGTCTTCTGTCTTCTTATTTGTATGGGGTTGTCATTGTTGAAGTGTCATCTTGTATTATTCGTTAGATTTAGTAACATATTAGATGTTCTTCTGTTTGTCCTAAATTTCAGTAAACGTACTCAAACTTCATCACTTATTCGATTTTACCAGTCAATAATTTATGTAATCTGTCCAAGTAAAGGGTTTTGGAATTATAATTTATCGATTTAAGTTGGACAAACCTTTAAAACATGAAAGCGTTGGAAGACTTCCGTATAGTGAGTATCCACGACCCTACAATACGGTTTATTAAGAGTTAAAGATCGCTCAGAATATTCGGTAAAATAGTAATTTCAGAATTTACTACAGTTAATGCAATGTATCATATATCCATTTACATAGATCAAAGTCTATATGAAATGAAAAATAAAAAGGAATCATATTACATCAATAATGAGAATATGTAGATCAATAATTGAAAAAAAATGTTTATTTAGTAGAATTATAGTGCGTTCCTGTTTTAAATAATTCAACGCCCAGTTGAAAACTTTAGTCTGAATTTATTTGGAGAAACGATCAATAATGAAATCAATCATGCAAATTATTTCGAAAAAAACAAATATGATTATCATAAAGTACTTTAGACAAGGTAATTTAATGCCGTAAAACCATTGATATGATCTCTTTAGTCTGTAGATGGCGTCGAGTATGGATTGACTATGATCACCACTACAATAAGATCATGCCCCCAAAAATGACTTGGTACCTTTGATAACTCGCAAACCAGAAGACTGTAACTGGTCCAGATAGAGTGTATTTATTGTCAATCTCGTGGTATCGAATGAATATCGAGACGCTTCAAAGATTACAGGCAATAAGAGCAGAGTGTGAGAAAGTTCAAACCAACAAGATGGATAGCGGAACGAGAAGTGACTTTGATGCAGTTAAACAATAACGAGTACGGTAAAACATTCACTGGTACAATTGGTTATAATAATAATTGTTTACATTATTCCAATCGTATTCTCGTTGAGAAAAGCAGGTCACTACAAGTCCATGCTCTCTTACTGATTCACTGTTCATATTAGGTAATCATATAAAATAAGTAATTAAAATGATTTGTGAACAGATCTATCAATTTGAAAACAGTTCTCCATATGAAGATATATCAGTTGTATTACTTTAGAGACTGTGGGATTGCATCAGATTTTATTCGAACATAATCAGTAAGTTATGTATGATTATAAATTACTCAGGTTAAATCATACCAATATCTTATGATTTGTGGATGGTATTCATTATGGATCTCAGGAAAAACTAATTCCGGAGTTTATTACAGCATGACAAACTCCATATGATCACCTAATTTTACTATTTAGACTCTTGAATAAGTCTCCCAGTTTTGTCGTTGTTAGTGGGATATAGATTGGATTAAGCATGTTTTATGCATGATGGTGTTGCTGCGCGCTGATTGGCTAATTCTAAACCGATCAGCCCGGGCATATTATTGCAGAAAAATCTAGAAGCTTCTTATGTATATACTATAAATATATGAACATTATTTAAACTATTGATTGCTGTTCACTTATCATTGTTATTTTGAATACAATTTCATTCCTGTTCAACGTGTTCTGATTTTGGGGTCTTGTCGAGTGTGATTGTATAAGAATACTAAGCAATAGGAATAGCTGGGTCGTTTATATAGCAAAAATTACAATTATAACAGTCGTCATTTCATCTACCGTTTTAAATTATAGGAATTGAAAATTATTAATTCCATTTCGAATTTTATACAGATTTATTCTACACGTAATTTTTATATGTTAATTTTAATAGTTGAGATCGTGAGTCAATTGAAGCTAGACCACCATGGAAAACCTGGAAGCACTGAACGGCCGTTTCGTCCTATTGTGAGACTCCTTAGTAGTGCTCACCCACGATCCCACCTCGCGAGACTGGAACCCAGGACCTATCAGTCTTGCGCGCGAGCGCTTAGCCTCTAGACCACTAAGCCGGCATCCAACGGTGTTAATGTCTAACTTCAACCGATCCACGAAATTGAGTGACAGCGCCATCCAGTGCTTCCAGGTTTTGTATGGTTGTCTGACTTCAATTGACTAATGATCTCAACTATTAAAAGTACTATAATATCCACAAAAACCCCTTCTGATATTAAATATTAGTTTGATAAAAGTTAATTTAGTTCTTGTCATTTTTAATTCGGAGAAAAAGTAAAATGGACTCATTTATTGTTGATTGTATTAGTCGTAATTGTAGACTACAATAATTTCCATTAATTTATGGTAACAGGTATTTTGTGATAGTTATTTGAAACAATAATATTTTATAATTTACAGTTTGAAATGTTTCCAATATTCCACATATTAAAACAAAAAGAGATCAGTTGTACTTATAGATTCATTAATTAAATTTTGTATAGTTTATCTTTCAAAATACCTGATAAAGAAAAATCCAGATGAGATTGAAGTGTTCCTTCTTTTCTTTTTGTTATATCCCCTGGTGAATTATGAATGGTAAATCTGAGGTCTATTTATGGACAAATGTAATATGCCTATTTCCTATTGTGTAGTTGTTAAATAACTGACCTAATCGTATTCGTGTTCCTCTTATCATAACCCTTATTTTGACCTTTGAACTATTATTATTGATTACTTTCCCCCTATCCACAGCCACATTGGTCAATTATTGTACAAATGTTATTTTTCTATTTTTTTTGGTATAATGTGGTCTGTTTGGTTAGTATATAAACCCAGTATGCTTGTGAATAATGATTCATATTGCCGATGCTGTTATTTGTGTTCTGGACTTAACGGGCTGGGCTAGGCAGTAGTAGGGCCGATACGCACTCAAGACTGCTCGTACGTATTTTATGTATCATTGCTCCGATCAATAAATTCGCTCCTCTCTAAATCAGCGTTCATATATTAAATTGGGCAATCATACGTTAAAACACTTTTCTATTCGAAAAATGCAATCAATAAATAACTAGCTGTTATGACTTTATAAAAGAAGGCCGTTGCCAATTCGTTGTGATTTTATGTCTGGCTTTTTATCA